GATCCGGACCCCGGGCCTTAGTTTGAGGACCCCTGTGTTAGAGCATCCAGATTCCCAATCAGCAGCTTGGAAGATGGCTGATCTGCACCCAGCAGCCTCTGCCTGATCATAAGCCCTCAAGGCAAAGGTGGTGCACAAGGAGAAATTGTAATTGTTCTGGTACGACTGTACCAGGAGCTCCAGCTTCTTTTCCTTTCTATTGAGTGTTTGCATGTATTTCAAAGTTCCATGCATTTTGCAATAAGGTGGCTTCCCTTGGTTTGCAATTATAGGGCCAATGACCCATCAATCATCATTAGGTTCTTTAGTTCCGCCCCTTCTTCTGGGTTTAGGAGGGGAAAAGGGGACCTCTAGTTCAGTTCTCACAGAGAAGCCTTTCGTACAGGGTGTGAGTCAGTTTCACCTGTAGAAAGCTTCTTCTTTTACAGCTTTTGCTGGGGGAATTCAGTCCCACAGCTCTACAGAGAAGCATAGCTTTTGCTGGGGGAATCCAGTCCCACAGCTTTACAGCCAGCCTTCGCTGGGAATTGAAGACCTTCTTTCCTCTTGGAAATCTACAAAAGGACTCTGTTTGGTAAGGACCACTTGCGACAGCCAAAATGCAATTTGGACCAGGTGTAGGGGCCCACACCAGCAGAGCCTAAGACAGATTGCCCAGGTAGAGGTCAAAGATTTCCCTGATAGAGAAGAAACGGTTCATGAAGATAGTTGCCTGTCCCTTGTGGACAAGATTAAGAAAGCTACCAGTTGATTCAAAGCCTTTAAGTATTTGTTTGATTTATTGAAGACTTAAGCACTAATAAAGAACTTTGTTAAACTTTCCAAGTGTCTAAAGACTTTGTTTAGGGAAATCTATAGGGCTTCTAATCCGAGGCATCCCCGGTGTCCCGTTAGGCATACAGAGCATGTCCTGTCTACAGACCTTTTCACAGGCCCAGCGCGTGACAGCACAGTAACCCAATTGTGAAATAGCTAAAATAGACTAATGCTGGTTTAAACTAAGAGTTTGTTGTTGTTCATTCGTTCAGTCGTCTCCGACTCTTCATGACCTCATGGACCAGCCCACGCCAGAGTTCCCTGTCGGCCGTCACCACCCCCAGCTCCTTCAAGGTCAGTCCAGTCACTTCAAGGATGCCATCCATCCATCTTGCCCTTGGTCGGCCCCTCTTCCTTTTACTTCCACTTTCCCCAGCATAATTGTCTTCTCTAGGCTTTGCTGTCTCCTCATGATGTGGCCAAAGTACTTCAACTTTGTCTCTAATATCCTTCCCTCGAATGAGCAGTCAGGTTTTATTTCTTGAAGTATGGACTGGTTGGATCTTATTGTGGTCCAAGGCACTCTCAGAACTTTCCTCCAACACCACAGTTCAAAAGCATCTATCTTCCTTCGCTCAGCCTTCCCTAAGGTCCAGCTCTCACATCCGTAGGTTACTACAGGGAATACCATGGCTTTGACTATGGTATCTAGGAGTTACACCACCATAAGCCACTAATTAGAGCCTCTCTCTCTATCTCTGCCCCATACATATCATTAAAGGATAGTGATCTTCAGATATCCACCAAGAAGCTGTTTATGATATACGATGTACAGGCAGCCCCCAAGTTATGAACAAGATAGGTTCTGTAGGTTTGTTCTTAAGATGAATTTGTATCTAAGCCAGAACATATAAATATTGAATTGTAACTCCAGCCAATATATATGTGTGTATATAGAGAGGGGAGGAAGGGTGAGATTATGCTTTGGATAGCATAAGAAAGGATTAACACCCCTGTTGTGTTTGTTTTGCTGTCTGTGCCCTGTTCAGAAAAGTTCACCCCACTTTCCGTCCCTGTGATAATGGAATTTTGAAAAATTTGGCTTGTGGTGGAAACAAGGATATGTATTAAAACTTCAGGGGAGACCCCTTTACCCCATGATAACTCTTTCAGCAGTGAATTTCCCTTCCTAGGAGTAGATTTATCTCACTTCCTGTTGTCTCATCCCTGTTCTTCATTATGAGTTGTTTATAAGTTGGATGCTTGTAACTTGGGGAATCCCTGTAAACACAGACTCATGATACATAACTACCTATGGTAAGCCAATTCTGAAATGTTATCATTGTGAACAAATATTGTAGAGAGATCTGTACTGTAAATAAAAGGCAGGAGTGTCTACTCTCCATGAAGCAATAGACTTGAACTCAGGTTGTGCCACTGGATAGAAAAAGAAGTACATGGCTATTCCTCATTCATTTGTTTTTTAACACCTTTGCTTGACTGCATTTGCTCCTTGTGGCTTTTGTAATTCCTCCACTTTTCGGCATCCTTGTTCATATATACGTAGAGGAGCACAGCTTAAGGGCTTCACTCTCCTTGGAAAGCTTTGCTCTCCTTGGGAGCCTAAACCAACAGATTAATGCCATCTGCTATATTTTTAAAGTGAGGCAATGCCGTGTAATTTGCACCTGTTTGAATGAAGCAACTTATATTGTGTGTGCAGTCAGCTCTAGCACCAAATATATGCTCTCAATTGTATTGCTTATACTGCATAGGGAAAACTCATTGAATCGATAGGATGCATAGATAAGAGTTGATCCATCATTCAGCAACTGTCATTGGATCTGCTCTAGGACCCTTCCATACAGCTGAATAAAATCTCACATTATCTACTTTTAACTGAAATATATGGCAGTGTGGACTCAGCTATCCAAGGTCCCTCCCACATGGCTGTATAAAATTCCACATTATCTGCTTTGAACTGGGATATATGGCAGTGTGGATTCAGATATTCTAGTGCAAAGCAGCTATTCTGAGTTATTCTGCCTTGATATTCTTGGTTATATTGCTATGTGGAAGGGCCCTTAGTTGGAACTAACCAATATGATTTGGGTTTATATGAGCTCAGAGGCAGCCCTAGGTAATTTTCAACGGTAAGGAAACAGTATTTTGGTGCCCCCCCCCCCCAACCAATCACTGATATACATTTTCTGTTTGTCGTGGGAGTTCTGTGTGCCATATTTGGTTCAATTCCATCATTGGTGGAGTGCAGAATGCTCTTTGATTGAAGGTGAACTATACATCCCAGTAACTACAGCTCACATATGTCAAGGTCTATTTTCCCCCAAGAACACCTCAAGATTGCCCCTGGGCAAAATCAACTATACTGCAAATGCTTACTTTGCGTAATGGGTTGAGCCGCCCCTGTATGGGCCCTTTCATACAGTCATGTTGTTGTTGTTTATTTGTTCAGTTGCTTCTGACTCTTCCTGACCTCATGGACCAGCCTACGCCAGAGCTCCCTGTCGGCCGTCACCACCCCCAGCTCCTTCAGAGTTAAGCCAGTCACTTCTAGGATGCCATCCATCCATCTTGCCCTTGGTCGGCCCCTCTTCCTTTTTCCTTCTATTTTCTCAAGCATCACTGTCTTCTACTGATGTGGCCAAAGTACTTCATCTTTGCCTCTAATATCCTTCCCTCCAATGAACTTTATTTCCTGGGGTATGGACTGGTTGGATCTTCTTGTGGTCCAAGGCACTCTCAGAATTTTCCTCCAGCACCACAATTCAAAAGCATCTATTTTCCTTTGCTCAGTCTTCCATACAGTCATATAACACTGTGCCGTCGCACGTGGGGGCTATAACTCTTAATGAAGGAGGCATGGACGTGGCATCTTTCCCCAGGGGATTGCTTCTTGCCCTCCTATAGGAAACTGGAACTCTCAAAAACCCAAAACGCTGTAAATAACTCAAAATAAGTTTTATTGATCACAAAGAGTTATTTCTTTAAAGCAATGAGCTTGAAATTTCAGAGGGGTGAAGGAAAATATACGTTACAGTCTCAGTTAGTCCTGGGTCCAAGGTGTTTGAAGCTGAGTAGCTTTTCCAAGTTTCCTCTTTCCTCAATGGCTGTGAATGCCGGAGCAAACCACAACCCCAGTTCAGATGGCCTATGTTTGAAGACTCAGGATCTTCCTTTGGTGCCAAAAGAACCGGTTTGAAGGTGCTTGAGACTTCCAACGTCGTTCAGGTTGGTCTGAACATGAAGCACAAGTCTCAAGGGTAAAAAAAAACCTCAGAACTGGTGCTGAGAGGTAATTTAAATCAGGGTCTTTTATAGACAAGTCTCTTACTCACGTCCATCTGGTAGAAACTCTGATGGCAGAATGAAAAGAAAGGAAGCACTCCCCTCCTGCAGGAAGAGGTGGAGCCAAACAGTACTGATTGACAGCCATAAGTAACCAATCCATACAACTATACATAAGCAGGGTAAAAAGGCAGGATTAAGCATGATACATCAGTTTAAATCTTGCAACTAGCAGTTCTACACATAGGTGGCGCCACCCGCACCGTCACAAACACAGAATATCAAGACAGAAAATCTCACAATATCTGCTTTGAACTGGGTTATCTGAGTCCACACTCAGATAATGTGGGATTTTCTGCCTTGATATTCTGTGATGTAGGGCTGTGTGGAAAGGCCCTGAGTCCACACTGCCATATATTCCAGTTCAAAGCAGAAAATGTGGGTTTTTATTCAGTTGTGTGGAAGGGGCCTAAGTGAAGAAAGTATCGCATTAGATACAATTTGTGAAAGAACAAAGTGTTTGTATGCTGCAAGGAGATCCATTCCAGGTAACCTGACTCCTTGAAATGTTTAAACCGCTTGCAATTTAAGTTTAAAAACCAGTGTGTGTGTTGTGTGTGCACAAGTGGGATCACCTGGCTTACCTTGCATGCTTTGTGCAAACTTAAACCTAGAAGATTGAATGACCTGAACTGTATATTTCTCCTCCTTCTGCAAAGTCACAGCTAGAAGCATATCCATATATTATCAATTGAATGATAGTAGAAACCATTAAAATCTAGAACGTCTAGGCTGAGGTAAAGGGCATGTTTCTATCCTGTGGGACTAATGTTAGGTAATGCGTTTATTTGCAGTATGGTCGTGTGTAAGAATAAAGTATCTCAAGATATTGACCTGCTAGAAGGGTGAAAATTGGCTAATTGTAGCTTTGTTCCTAGCCCTCTCCTTGTGAATGGTGTCGCTGTGAGCCCAGCAATGAAGTTCACTGCGTTGTAGCAGACTGTGCCGTCCCTGAATGTGTCAACCCAGTCTATGAACCGGAGCAGTGTTGTCCAGTCTGCAAAAATGGTAAGCATTCAACATATGAGAAAGCATAATGTCATAAAAATATGTGGGTTTTTTTTTAGAAACCCCTTTTATGTACAACAATTGAAAAGCCCAATTTCACGGGGGAAGGCTAAGATGTGCAAGTGTAGTTTCAGACAGAGCATGTATAGCAATGGTATTGCTCCATAAACAGCTTGATTAGGCGATATATGAGCTGACAGAGTAATATGTCCTAATGCCATGCTACAACTTTCAAGGATTAAATTTTTCCTAGTGATACATTTTATTTTATTTTATTTTAACATTTCTGGAGTACCTTCCTGTTCTCTGGTGTGTGGGATCCCTGGAGTGATGTCAAAGGTAGAGAAGTGAGGGAACCAGCTAGTGAATGATTAAGATAACATGCCTGAGACCTCCAACCTCTATGGATTTGGTGGATGGCTTGGGGAACCTGAGTGATAGCAATGAGAGAGACAGGCTGGAATCTACACAGCCATATTATCTGTTTTGAATTGGATTATATAAGGACCCTTCTACACTGCCATATAATCCAGATTATTATTATTATTATTATTATTATTATTATTATTATTATTATTATTATTTAGCATTTATATTCCGCCCTTCTCACCCTGCAGGGGACTCAGGGTGGATCACAGTGTACACATATATGGTAAACATTCAATGCCAATTTTGACCCACAACATATACAGACATACAGAGAGGCTATCCAACTTCCTCTGGCCACCAGGGGAGCTGTCACTTTCATCATCCATCTGAGACACTGATGAAGTACTTCCGCATTCCCCGCATGCCTTCTTTGCTGGAGTGCTTTGCTGGAGTCCCTTCCATGGCCTCATAAATTAGTTAGTTTAGCCTCCCCACACTTTAAGGTGGTATCTAATTTTCCTACTTGACAGATACAACTGTCTTTCGGGTTGCAAAGGTCGACAACAGGCTACACAATTGGTTGGAAACCCACTCCAACCCGGACTGGCTTCAAACTCATGACCTTTTGGTCAGAGTGATCTTAATGCAACTGACACTTAGCCAGATGTGCCACAATCCCGGATTATCAAATCCGATAATCCACATTATCTGCTTTGAACTTGATTATATGAGTCTACACCGCCATATAATCCAGTTCAAAGCAGAGGATCTGGATTTTATATGGCAGTTTAGAAGAATCCAGTTCAAAGCAGATAATCTGGATTTTATATGGCAGTGTAGATCCAGTCACAGATATCAGTGAACACACAAGTAATCAATCAGGTAGTATTCCATTATCCAGGTGGAGGCCACTAGGGGGTGCTAGAGAGAGAATGATAGTCCATTTGATGGGGTGGAGAGTGGGTTGAAGGAGTAAAAACAATACCTCCTGTTTTCCTGTTATTCCCCCCTCCCATGTTCCCATCATGGAAACAACCCTCCTTTATGATATGGGAAGTTGGGAGAGGGAATAACCAGTTTGTTTGTTTTTTTGTCGTGTCAGGAGCGACTTGAGAAACTGCAAGTCGCTTCTGGTGTGAGAGAATTGGCTGTCTGCAAGGACGTTGCCCAGGGGACGCCCGGATGATTTTATGTTTTTATCATCCTTGTGGGAGGCTTCTCTCATGTCCCCGTATGAGGAGCTGGAGCTGATAGAGGGAGCTCATCCGCCTCTCCCCAGATTTGAACCTGCGACCTATCGGTCTTCAGTCCTCCTGGCACAGGGGTTTAACCCACTGCGCCACCGGGGGGCCCGGTGAAAACAGGGAAAATGGTTTTCCTCCTTCAACTCCCCATCTCCCTGTAAAATTGACTATCCTTCTCTCTCTAGCACCCCCTAGTGGCCTCCGCCAAGATAATGAAAATATTTCTGGTCTATTATTCTTGGACGTTCCATGTTGCCCTTGGCAGTACAAAAGCCCTACATGATGGGCCCTTTATGTAAAATCAGACTGGCCAACATCAATTAACACAGTCTGATAATGGAACAGTACCACAAATCCTGCTCCCCACAACACTAATTAAGACAACGGGAATGTCGGGATATTTTCCTTTGGACCTTACTTAGCATAAGGACATTATTTATCATAGTCTATGATTAATGCTTCCATCATTGAGGTAGATTTAACTCTTACTTGAGTCATGGATGACACACACTTCCCTGGGTCAGTTCACAACTGGATTTAAGCGAGAAATAGGCTGTAATCCATAGCATGTGTATCAAATAACACATATTAGCCTTGAAGGTACTGCAAAATTCTTGGAGGTGTCTCCCTTCTGACCGTCAGCAAAGAAAACAACTGTATTTATTATACTTCCAGTTATGACATACTGGCCCCTACTACAACCATTTACAATCACTTAATTGGGCCCAATATCTTCTCCTGTGCCATTGATATTGTCATAGAAGCCCAATGTACCTGGTGCTAGTGACTGGATGTGTCATATTGGAAGCCAAGGAATACAATTTTCACTCAGAGTCATTGAGCAAAATGAGACAACTTTCTACGAACTATTATAGCAACCCTCGGTGGTGCAGTGGGTTAAAGCGCTGAGCTGCTGAGCTTGTTGACCGAAAGGTCGCAGGTTCGAATCCGGGAAGCAGTGTGAGCTTCTGCTGTCAGCCCCAGCTTCTGCCAACCTAGCAGTTGGAAAACATGCAAATGTGAGAAGATCAATAGGTACCACTCCCGCAGGAAGGTAATGGCACTCCATGCAGCCATGCCGGCCACATAACCTTGGAGGTGTCTAAGGACAACGCTGGCTCTTTGGCTTATAAAAGGAGTTGAGTACCACACCCCAGAGTCAGACATGACTGGACTTCAGGTCAAGGGAAAACCTTTACCTTTACCTATACATTAAAGAAAATAAATTTTATATGTGGCTCTCAGATCGCTATGTTGGATGAAGCTTCTGTGAGCCGTATGCAGCCCTAAGCATTTGCCTAGCTCAAGGCTATGCAAATACACAAACCTTGCTCTTTTTCTCTTCTCTTGGGATATTGTGAACTATGAAATTCAGCCTCATCTCTGCTAGGCAAATCAGGCTATCCTTGAGCTGCAAAATCTCTATAGCCCCATTAATTTAGCAGATTAATTATTGACATTTTAAATAGGAATTACATCTAAGGCATTATTATTACTGGCATCTGCTGAAGATGTTTTAGCTCCACGATTCTTCCTTAAACCGGTTGAACATCCCTAAGTCCTCATTCATCTATGATTCCGTTGGTGTTCTGTCGCGCGCTGGGCTTGAAACAAATTGCTTTTAAAACAGGACGTGCAACTTTAGCCCAGCGGGAAGCCAGGGGGCCCGAAGAGAAATTCTTAAGGATTTTCACCATGAACAGTCTCTAGAGGGCTTTTAAAATATAACAAAGTCTTTTATTGGTGAACAATCAACAGAAACATCTTTTGTCTTCAAAAGGTTAAACAAATGTTTCCAGGCTTTGTGCAACTGGTGGCTTCTAACTGTTACTTTTACTCTAAAGGAAAATCCCTTTCCAAACTTCTCCCAGGTTAACTGTGATCCTAAACCTAACTGATGTGGATCCACTACCGGGCTGAACTGTGTCTCAAAACCGAGTGGACCTACCAGTAGGCCTGTAGTCACTTCAGCTGGAGTTCTTGGATGTTTAAAGCTGTTATTCCCTCCGAAATTCCTCGGGACTGTAAGGCTGTTTCTCTGGAACCTTTGGGAATCTTTAGATGCTCTTAAGACTGTTCTCCTCCGGGAGGTCTTAAGGGTTGAAGCCTTTGTACAGGAGAAGTCTGTATACATCCTGTACATTGACTTTCCTTGCTGAGACTGACTGAAAATGGCTCCCTTCCCTTCTCAATTGTCCTGAACAGGGGGCGGAACCAAACTTAACGATGATGGACAGGGGGCCTGCCCTATAACTGCAAACTTTAACAGGAAGTCACCCTTCTGCAGAATCCCAAGCCTTGGGCTGCAAACAAACACTTAATACAAGGCAAATAAAGTGGGAGCTTCTGGTACAGCTGTACCAGCAGAGTTGGTGATATGAATCTCTAAGCTCCTATCTACACTATACATGTGCATAAATAGAAATGAACCAAAGCATTGTCTCCTCCAAAATGCTTGATGTTACAAGATAGCATTTTTTTTATCAGAACATGGTTTGCCAATCTAGGAGAAGAGCTATAAGAAAGATGGATCAACAATGATTCATGTTGATGTTATCACCTTTCCATTTAAAAAGCCAATTCTTCCACCATCCTGCCATTGATAGTGTAACCTCTGGCCTTCTAGCTCCTTTACAACAGAGCTGAATAAACTTTCCAAGACTTAAAGGGAACACAATGTCTTTAGTGGGAATTGCAATTATACATAATACTGTCGTAATTACCCATGAGAGCTAAAGGCATAAATAATGCAACCATTACTCTCTTTTAGTCCAAAGAGAAAACCGGAGAGGTCTGGCTTTCAAACATTATAGTCAGCCAGCCTGAATCTTCTTTTCATCCCACAAAGGGTTGGATGCGCCGACATTCCTTCTCTGCAAACAGCTTAAACTACAGGACATCCACAGCAAACGGAGAACACATAATTGCAGCTTGAAGGGCATCAGCCTGTGGCGACTATGCAAATATAACAAATACTAGATATCTACACACAAACACGTACACACAAATGATTTTCCATCCCCTTGTTAAATCAGTTATGCACATATATCAATTACAGGTAACATGCAGAAAGTGATAAGAGACCATTAATATTATTCAGCTACCCAACAGAAAACTAGCCCATTTCTACCTCCCTTGCTTCCTCCTACATTTTGGGTAGTGTTGCTAATGGGCAGAAAGCAGTGAGTGTTCTTAAAGCATTGTGAAAGATGCACTTTAGCCCTGGAGGAGTGCGCAGACGTATGAGCTAGCAAGAAAGGGGAAAGTAGCTTTTAATCATCTTCATTTGTTTGTCTCTTTCTTTGTTTAAACATTTCCAAAAGAACATTGAGCTTTAGGGCTTTAGGCAGGAACAACACAATCCTGTTGCACTCAAAAATAAATCCC